AGTTTCGTCGGAACGAAGTTACGGAAAGTTAATTAACAAACGGAGACGTAACAGTATATACCACTCTGATGAAGGGAGGCCTATCTTATGAAAGTGTATGACATATTGAGTATATTCTATACACCCCTCTGATGAAGAAAGGCCTAACATCTAAGAGATTGAATTATCGGATTTGTTTTATATATCACTCTGATGAAGAAAGGGTTTACCATATACACCAAGCTCATGGAGGAAGGACTAGCTTTTATAATCGTGTTACGTCTCCGTTCGTTAGTTAATTTTCCGTAAAAATTCTTTCCGATGAAACTTTAGCGACACAAATCCTTTCTTAAATAAAACTGGTTTATTCTTTCTGAATACAACTTTGCGATACACTTAATTTCAACAGTCGCGCTATAACAAACACTATAATTCACAACGAACGTCTCACGTGCTCGACTGAACAATACTCTGTTCGCAGTTCAATAACACTGTTCCCGTCGCTTCAGCAACAATTTAAGGACATCGAATGGCGCAGTTGGGTAGGCCTTGTGTGCTATACTTTGCAAGTCCTGTGCCAGCTCTTGCAGGCTCTCCCCTTTAGCATGGACTCTCGTCCTAACCCTAGCCCTGTAGACTCCGGACTGGTTTTGAGTTCCGTACCTGAGCTCTAGAGCAGCTACCAGTGCTCTATAGTTGTGCTTGGCGTCTGGTGACAACTGTCCAAGTATTTCCAGTGGTTGTCCCGTTAAGCTCGTTGCCAGATATACTGCTTTCTTCTCCTCTGTCCATCCATTCTTCTCTGCCAGGAGCTCAAATTGTGCTCTATATGCTTTCCACGGTGCCTTCCCATCGAATTACTGTGGCGTCCTTCGTACTAGATCACCCCTATTGCTGACATTCATATCTGGGATGTGACTTCTAACAGGACTGAAGATGTCTGCATTAGGGTTTAGTTGCGGGGTCTGGAAAGAGCTTGCCGTTGTCTGGGGCTGATTAAGTCGATGGTTAATGTATTCTCCTTTTGTAAAAGACAATAAATCATCCTTTAATGTATTTAATTCGCTTTGAAATTTACTGATGTTTTCCATTTGTGTACTCTGGCTTTCTCTCAATTGTTGGAGACTTTCTTCTTGTTTATTTTCTTTCTCCTCGAACCACTGTTTTAGTCTCTCTTCTTGTTTCTTTTCTTCTTCCTCCAACAACTGCTGTAACTCTCTTGTTTATTTTGCTCTTCGAGCTGCCACTGTTGCAGGTTTTCTTGCCACTGCTGTTGCCTCTCCTAATTGTTTCTTTTCTTTTTCCTCCAACAACTGCTGTAATTTCTCTTCTTGTTTTTTTTCTTTTTTCTCTAACAACTGCGGTAATCTCTATTCTAGTTTCTTTTCTTTTTCCTCCAACAACTGCTGTAATCTCTCTTCTTGTTTCTTTTGCTGTACTTGTATTGCTGCCATCAAATCTGCTAAGCTGTAGTTTGATCTGTCACCTCTCGTTTCCATCTTCTTTTTTTTTATTTTCTATCCCGCTTCTAACACCAATTAATTATCGGGTTTGTTCTATGCACCACTCTGATGAAGGATGGTTTATCTTTGAAAGTGCATGACTTATCGAATTTATTGTATATATACCAGCTCTGATGAAGAAAGGCTTTCATTTTAAAAGGAAATTAGTTATAGGGTATCTTGTATATACCACTCTGATGCAATAAGGCTTACTTTCTGAAATTATAGGCCTTATTGGGTTTATACCATATACCACTATGATGAAGTTAGTCTACCTTGTGAAAGTATAGGAGTTATCGGGTTTACTGTATATACACACAGAGAAAGGAAAGCCTAACTTCGGAAAATTCATGAGTTATCAGGTTTATTGTATATATTACTCTCATGAAGGAAGGCATACATTTCGAAAGTGAAGGAGTTATCGGATTAACAGGATATACCCTGAGGTACGAAGGCCAGCCTTCTGAAATTGTTTGAGCTTTCTAGTTTACAATAAATACCACTCTATTGAATAAAGTCCTGTCTTTTGAAAGTGTACTAGTTATCGGGTCTATTCTATGCTCCATTCTGGTGAAGGAAGGATTTCCTTCTTAAAGTAAATGAGTTGGCGGATTTCTTGTATATAACACTCTGATGTCGGAACGTTTACCTTCTAAAAGTGTAGGAGTTATTGGATTTATAATATATACTACTCTAACGAATGAAGGTCTGCCTTCTGTAAGTGTAGGAGTTATCAGGTTTATTGTTTATAGCACTCAGATGAAGGAAGGCCTACCTTTTAAAATTGAATGAGCGATCTGGTTTATTGTATACACCACTCAGATTAAGGAAAGTATACCTTCTGAAAGTGTAGGAGTTATCAGGTTCCTTGTATATACCAATCTGACGAAGGAAGGCCTACCTTCTGAAAGTATAGGACTTATCGAGTTTACTATATATATATACACCACTGTAATGTAGGAAGGCCTACCTTCTGAAGGAGTAGGATTTATCTCGTTTATTGTATATGCCACCCTGGTGAAGGAAGGCCTATTTTCTGAAAGTGTAGGATTGATCGAGTTTCATTGCATATACCAATCTTATGAAAGAAGGCCTACCTTTTTAAAGCATATGAGTTATCCAGTTTCTTTTATATACCACTCTGGTGAAAGAAAGCCAACCTTTTGAAATTGTAGGAGTTATCGATTTTCTTGTATTTATCACTCTGATGAGGAAGGCCTACATTCTGAAAGTGAAATAGTTATCGGATTTATTGTATATACTACCCTGATGAAGAAAGGCCTATCTTCTGAAAGTGCATGAGTTATCAAGTTTGTTGTATTTACCACTTTGATGAAGAAAGTCCTACCTTCTCAAAGTGCATTAATTACCAAGTTTGTTGTACGTACCATACTTATTAAGGAAGGCCTATGTATTAGTTATCGGGTTTGTTATATACTACTCTGGTGAAGGAAGCCTACCTTCTCAAAGTGCATTAATTACCAAGTTTGTTGTACGTACCATACTTATTAAGGAAGGCCTATGTATTAGTTATCGGGTTTGTTATATACTACTCTGGTGAAGGAAAGCCTACCTTCTGAAATTGTGCGAGTTATCGATTTTATCTTATTTACCACTCTGATGAAGGAAAGACTATATTCTGAAAGTGTATGAGTTATCTGGTTTGTTGTGTATACCACTCTGATGAAGGAAAGCCTATATTCTGAAAGTGTGTGAGTTATCGGGTTCCTTGTATATACCACACTGATGAAGTAAGGCCTACCTTCTCAAAATATATGACTTAAAGGGATGTTGTATATACCACTCTAAAGAAGGAAGCCCTACCTTCTGTAAGCGTAGGAGTTATCGGGTTTATTGTTTACACCATTCTGATGAAAGAAGCCCTACCTTTTAAAAGTGTATGAGTTATCCGGTTTATTGTATACACCACTCAGATTAAGGAAGGCATACTTTCTGAAAGTGTAAGAGTTATCAGGTTCCTTGTATATATCATTCTAATAAAGTAAGGTTTACCTTCTGAAAGTATGAATTATCGGGTTAATTGGATACAGTAGATATCACTATGATGAAGGAAGGACTTCCCTCTGAAAGTGTAGTATTTATCTGGTCTATTGTATATACCACC